AAAACTGCAGAATTGCGGGTGGATTCAATGGAATTTTTTCTGGCCATTGTTTTGGTGTCTGTTCCATGAGACAACCAAACTTATTTTGACACCAAAAATGACGATTCTCATAGAGGGACATCAAATGACTTCCCAAAATTTACAGATGGAATCAAGGCCAGAAAGAAAAACCATTACTACCTGGCTCCCAGTCCTCTACTTAGAATTCTAGACCACACTGCCTTTCCCACAAAAAAAATCTGCTGATACTGAAATTTGTGAAGAGTGTGTGACTCACCTTGTTGTAGGTCCTGTTAGGATGTCCCTGGAAGGGGACAGCCCTCTTGCCAGCACACCGGAAGAAACTGAAGGTCAACCAATTACCGAGCAACAGCACAACCTGCCGCGAAAGAAAGACCCACCCGAACCTAAACCGGGAACTGCTGCAGCTTAAAAACCTTACCCCACCATACCCGGGGGCGACTTCCCTGACTCCTCTCACTCCTTGAGTCACGGAACCTCGCCCGGAACCTTAGTTCCCAATAAAGCCTTAAACTGCAAAAATTCTTTTTGACTCTAACTCCTATCTTTACCCCGCCCAACGCCTGACACTAACAGGTCGTGATCACTTATGAACTTCGGACAGCAAAAACAGGATCAAAACAAGTTTATTACGGCCGGGCCAGACAGGGAAATACAACAGGTCCCGAAAGTCTGGCCCCGAACAAGCTTTGGGAATGTCTCATAAAGGCTGTATCGACCACTCGGGTTGCAAAGGGTGGCAGTTTGAAAGGGCGGGCACCAATCACACAGTGTTGTAGGTCTTTAAAATATGAGGCGGGCACCAATCACACAGTCCTGAAGAATTTTAAAATATAACTTGTTGACTCTAGCTAGTTGAATGCTGAATCATGTTGTTTACAATATTAGTCTTCTATCTAGTTTGAACAGAATGCGGTGCCTGAGAATGGGGAAGGGTGATTACGCCAAGCAGGTTTACAGAAGCTCAAACAAGCAGTTAAGAGGGAGTTTTATCTCTCAGTAACGCAGCAAATGTGGTTTTAAGCAGAACTAATATTTTGAGAACAGGAGCAGCACTTCTATGAAAGCCCAAAACAAACACTGGTTCAGCATCTCACACTCTGTGGTCCTTCTAAGCTTATATAGGTCATAGTTTACTCTTGGGCTACAGGAGGCTAGCTATGTTTGCCCTTTACAACCTGAATCAGTCAACCAACAAACTCAAGAGCAGAGTCCTATAGAAATTCACACTGCTGAAGATGTTCCAATTGCTGCAGAAGTGCATGCAATTTCTGAAGATTATGATACAGAGACAGAAAACAATTCCTTGATAGTCTCCACAACCAAACTGAAGGGGAGACTCCAGCTAAGCTTTCCAAAATTCTTGGCAAGAGCCAAGCTTTGAATGTGATGGCCCAGCAGAAGTAGCCTTTACTGAGAGCTAATAGAGCAGTGGCATCTAGAAATGTGAACTTTGTGAGTTCAACAGTAATGAGGGACCATAAGGCAAGCTGAGGGCAAAGTACAGGCTAACAGCACCTCCCCCCCTACCCCACCCCCCCAGCCAGGTGGGATATGTGTGATGGTCCTCAGACACTCCTGGCTGCCTAAGAGCAAAGGAAAAGGACAGAAAACAAATGGTTAAACTGACAGGGGTCTCCTTCAGTTTACAGATAACTTAGTAAACTGCAAGAAAAAGGCAATCTTATCCATAGCCTAATCTCCAGAAAGGCCCTAATATCACCCTCATCAAGATGTAAGGGGGGTTGGGGCGCCTGGGTGGCGCAGTCGGTTAAGCGTCCGACTTCAGCCAGGTCACGATCTCGCGGTCCGTGAGTTCGAGCCCCGCGTCAGGCTCTGGGCTGATGGCTCGGAGCCTGGAGCCTGTTTCCGATTCTGTGTCTCCCTCTCTCTCTGCCCCTCCCCCGTTCATGCTCTGTCTCTCTCTGTCCCAAAAATAAATAAACGTTGAAAAAAAAAATTAAAAAAAAAAAGATGTAAGGGGGGTTTAAGTGGTTGCCATGGTGATGTGGGAAACTAAGGCAAATGAAAAATCAAATTCCCGGGGCACCTGGGTGGCTCAGTCGGTTGAGCATCTGACTTCAGCTCAAGTCATGATCTTGCAGTTCATGAGTTTGAGCCCCGTGTCAGGCTCTGTGCTGACAGCTCAGAGCCTGGAGCCTGCTTCGGATTCTGTGTCTCCCTCTCTCTACCCCTTCCCCACTCATGCTCTGTCTCTCAAAGATGAATAAACGTTAAAAAAATTAAAAAAAAAATTAAATTCCCTTATGGCCAACAGCCCACTGACAAGTCCTTGAAACAGGCAGAGTGACCTCCCTCTAGGAGCTCAGCTGCCTTGATGATGACACTTTGCTAGGGGCAAAGGGTATCTTGGCTTAACATTATCCTGTCTGCCCCGCCCCAACCTGGATCCTGTGAGTCTCTTTAAACACATAAAAATTCCTTTGCAAACCTCCTTTTTCTTTAACCCCCGAGTATATATTGGCAATTATACTCCAAGCATATGGCCCCTGATATACATCTGAAGGCTCTCATGGCTGAGGTTTTACTAACAGTCATAAATGATGTTTTCCTAACAACAACCAGCCCCTCAAGATCCTGGAAACCTTGCTTCCAAAATACCTTAGAGACTTTCTCTATCCCTGACCCCCTCCCAACCTGAGGATATATAATGAGTTACCCATCACGACCCCAGTACAGCTCTTCATGCCCATGGGTCTTGTGCCTGTGCATTAATAAAATCACCATTTTGCACCAAAGACATCTTCCAGAAGTCTTTCTTGACTGTCAGCTCCGAACCCCACCATTACTCCCAAAACCCTATCAGCAAATATTTTTCTGATTTAAATCAGCATATGATCCTGAAGCATAAGTGTACTGATTCAGATGTGTGTCAAGCATGCAAGGACAGTTTCTCTACCAACGTGCTTCTGATCGAACACGCAAACTGCGTGAAGACGAGCCCTACATTTATAGACACTGTGACTATAAAACGGTGATTTTTGAGAACCTCAGCCAGCACACTGCAGACACCCATTTTATTGACCACCTTTATTGGTGTGAGCTGCACAATGTACAGTTCTCCTCATGCAGTGACCTCGAACTACATTTCCGGGAGCACAGCTGTGATGAATGGTACGTGTGTCAGTTTCGTGAGCATGAAACAGTCAATTCAGAAGACTTCCACACCCATGTGGTAAGTGGACATAACTAAAGAGTTAATCATAAATATAACCACGGAGAAGATGGACAGCTACAGCCTCTTCAGCAAAATTACCTCTGACAAATGTAAAAACTTCTTTGTATGTCAAGTATGTGGTTTTCGGAGGAGACTTCTTGCAAATGTTAACAGGTGTTGCTACAGAGATACTTAAATTTCTCCTCATGCTTGTGATGACTGGGAAAGGCTTTTCAAGGATGCTAGAATATTGCAAACAGTTGAATTCACCTTTATCTGAAGGGGTTAATTTATGTCAATATGGTGAATATTCGACAAGACAAACTGAAGAACTTAATATTCATCTAGATTTCAAGCACTAAGCTGACTTACCTTATAAATGTAGTGACTGCTTCATGGGGTTTAGGAAGTGAGAGAGAATTAAGAAGTCACCTTCAAGTCCATGAGACAACTTAATTACTTTCTTTAACTTCCATAATGTTAATGTAAAATAATAAATTTGAGTTTTATGGGGATGTTTAAAAAAACAAATGTTTGTACAGTAAAGGATGAAACATTAGGGGTGCCTGGGTGGCTCAGTTGGATAAGCATCTGACTCGATTTTGGCTCAGGTCATGATCACATGGTCCTGAGATCAAGCCCCTCATTTGGGCTCCAAACTGGACATGGAGCCTGCTTAAGATGATCTCTCTCTCCCTCTGACCCTCCTCCGTGCTCTCTCTCTCTCAAATAAAAGATGAAACTTTAACATAGCAACCGAGATGACCAGTTCTATAGATACATAAAACACATTTGATGATGCACATGAAAACGATGTTTCTCTTTATTGAAGAATAATTGACATACAATACTGGATTAGTTGCAGGCATACACATAACGCTTTAATATACATACACACCATGAAAGGGTCACCACAGTAAGTGTAGTTAGCATCTGTCAACATACAAAGGTGTTACAGTGTTACATTGACCATATTCCAAATATGGGTACGCTATATCTCTTGTCTTCATTATTTTATTTATAACTCAGACTGTATCTCTTAATCCCCTTCACCCATTTCCTCCATTCCCTCCCATTCCCCTCCACTAAGTCTTGAATAGATGTGACACTCAGTCCTGCACAAAGGCCATCCAATGAAAACCACAGCAAACGTGATTAGGGGAGCAACTTTATAACCATGCCTGAAGAGAAGAATGCCTGGTATCAGTGCGATCTCACAAAAACAGATATGCATATTTGACACAGAAAAAGGAAAGATTTACAGGAACTGTCATAACAATGAAAGCAAGGCATCAACGACTAGACTTCAGCGTCGTGTCCAACGTAAATGACAATGACGAAATCAAGGCCTAGAGACGGGATGGACTGAATGCGGTAGACAGACTGTGATGGACTGTCGGGCTTAACGATAAGGGACGTGCAGGGAGGCCGGCAGGAAACCATTTACTGAGCAGGCTGTGGGGTGAACCCATTGGCGCCCTGCGGGGAACTGGCCTCGCCCTCCGCCCACCCCCGCCCCGCCCCCGCCCCCACCCGTAGCCGCGCCCCCATACCTGGTTCCTGCCCCAGCCTTGTCCTCCGGGCGGGATCCAGGCCTCAGGCCCAGCGCGAAGCCCACGCTCGAGGGAAGCCCAGTTCCGCCGTTTGATGTGGAAGTCCCGCCCCTCGATTCCCGGCAGGAAGCGGAAGTGGCGTCACGCGCTCGCCGGGGTCTCCGGCAGCTTCTTGGCGCAGGGTTGAGCCCGTTGGGCTGGTAGCGGTCGGACGTGGGCCGGCCGTGGTGGGGAAGGCGTGAAGGGAGGCAGGAGGTGGGAGTCCAAGGCCGGTTTTAGTCGGGGTCGGCGGTGGTCTTGCTTAACGGCCGGGCCGCGCGGCTCGCATCCGCCTAGACCGCCCGACAGGCCGCTGAGGCCGGCGGTTCTAGCGCGGAGCCGCTGTGGTCCTGCTGGGAGGGCGCGTGCGCGGGGTGTTCGTGGCCACTGTGCTCGCCCGTCCTGCAGTGTGCAAGCGGCCTTTGTGACTTTTGTCCCAAAGGAAAAGAGTTTCTGCTGCTGGGAGTGGCCCAGACTCCGCCGCGTTACTCGCAGCCTCAGGGACCCGGCCGGTGAGCGTTCTGGAAAGTTGGTTCAGCGGGGCCTGTGTTTCCTTTCGGTGGGCAAGAGGCAGTTTTATCTGAGAATGTGGCTTTGTCTGCGCTCGTCTTTTCTTCGGGACACACTGTCTTAGGCAGGTGATATGCTTTCTCGGATGTGTGTAGTGTGCATGTTTCAGTACCTAGTTATACACACGTGCTCCACTGGTCTTTGTACTAGAGAAACAGTTTTCACGTCGCTTTTCCTGAGACCCTCCTGAGCCTGTCCATTCCCACCAAGTTGCAAGCCAGGGACTTCGGGAGAAAAGAATGGAGGCGTGAATACTCCATTTTCAGAATAACTGGATTTCCCATTAACAGGGCATTTGGACTGTTTTCCATTTAGTGGAAAGACATTTTTCTTTCATAACATCTTAAACCTGAAGGAAATGTAAGCAACTACTGCTATGAAATGTGCGTTCAGGTAGGTTCACCCATTTTTGCATTTTGCGTGGTTGCTCTCTCTAGATAAATGTATTTTTCAGTGGACTGTTTGAGAGTAAATAGGAAATAAATTGTAGATGATGCTTGACCTTCAAGTACTTAGTAGCGCATCTCCTAAATATAAGGACATTGTGCTACTAAAACCATAATACATTGATTCCACCCAAGAAAATGAAAAATGTTATCTAATATCTGCTCTGTAAAAACTAAAGTTTTTCACATTGTTTCAAAATACGTTTTTGGATGTTTCGGGATCTAGGATACAATCGAGGTTTATATGACAAGTTTTTATGTCTCTAAGTCTCTTTAAAGCTAGAGCAGGGGGGTGCCTGGGTGGTTCAATGGGTTAAGCCTCAGACTCTTGATTTCAGCTCAGCTCATGAGATCCAGCCCTTTGTTGGGCTGACAGCATGGAGCCTGCTGGGATTCTCTCTCCCCGTCTGTCTGCCCCTCCCCGGCTGGCGCGTGTGTTCTCTCTTGAAATAAATAAATATTAAACAAAAAATAAAGCTAGATCAGAGCCATTTTTTCTTCATAATACTGACTTGGAAGAGTCACATGTTCTTTGAAAACTTGTACTTAATGCTATTTGTGATTTTATTTCCATGATGTGTTTAAATGTTTTCTTTATTTCTTGGAATTTTAGAAAGTGGCAATTGGGTTCAGTATAGAGTTAGTAGACTTCTTGTCTGAAAGGACAGAGGTAGTACATAGCAGGGGTGCAAGAGCAGCTGGCTCTGGGGTTCTAAAATCCCAGGTTCTAAAACAGACCGGGTTCTGTTACTGGCTGCTTACAAAATCAGAGAAGGGAGTATTGTTGAAACACCACAGGAATGTACGTCAGTAAGGCCCATGCCACGAAAATCAGCTACCTAAAGACTAAATTGTAATGTTACCCTGTAATAATTTGTATATTAATCAAAACAGGAAGGACATAGGGAAAGTGAAAGGCTAGTGTGTGTGTGTGTGTGTGTGTGTGTGTGTGTGTGTGTGTAGTATATAGTGTATAGTATATAGTATATATAAATAAACACATGCACATAAATAAACAAATACAACAAGCATAGACAAAACATGTCAACCCAGTATATTTTAGGTTTAGTTTAGGTTTCTGGAATTGGCCTTGAGGTGATTGTCCATCGTTCACTTCTTCAAGGCTAATCCCCTACTTCCAGGCCTTGGGTACGTTGGGTGTTGGCGTTAGTCTTTGCAGTTCCCCCAGCAGTGTCGGTATTATTCCTGGATGGTTATGTCCAGTGGTGGGAGTTCCAGGATCCTCCTTTTGGATTTTCCTGCCATAATGGTTCTTACGCTATGGGTCAGAGATCAGGGAATTCTGCCAGTTGCCAAGAGTGTCTGTATTGCAATTACACGTTTAGCCGCTGGTGAAAGAAATCCACAGAGTGGTAGCTTGCTGCAGCTGGGTTTAATCTGAGTTCATTGGAGTTAAGACTTTTTAAAAAGTTGTCTACCCCCAGCCTCCACTTTGACTTGGTGGTGTGCCACAGTGATATATTGGATCCTTAGTACTTAGTGTCATCTTAGAGATGGTGTGGAATAGTATTTTCTTTTCCCCCGTGTACAGTCATTCTCATGAATGCTTATATGAAGGATCTGTATGAAGATTTTTAGTATGGATTGTGGTGATGGTGCAAAATCCTTTGCTGAAGGGGTTCTAAGTTTGTTCGTCTATGTCTGGAAGTTGGGTAGTGGGCTGTGATTTTCCACTGGGGTGAGTCAAGTCAGAGTTTTGGTTATTAGAGACTTATTCTTCCAGACATCAAGTAAAATTCTAGTACACAGGTTGGCATACTGTGGACCCTGGGTCAAATCTGGCCCTCCAGCTATTTTTGTACGTAGAGCTTTATACAAACTTAAATGTATTCATTGGTTCTTTGAAACCACAATGACAGAGTTCAATATAGCACAGGGACTATTTGGCCTGCGTTGCCTAAAATGTACTGTATGGATCTTCAGAGGAAGTTTGTTGACCTCTGCTATACTAGGCTGCCTGTCTGTTTCATTGCAAGGGACTAATTAGTTTCTGATTAGTTAGCCACCACTAAAGATCTCTGCAGGACAAAGCATTCTGATTTCCTGTTTCATTCTCACTGGTCTTGACAGTTCATGTGCCCACCATGTCTTTGGTAATTAAGTGTTGCCTACTTGACTTCTGCTACTCTGGGTCCTCATCATTCCTACTGAAATCAGGGAGTCCATCTCAGTGATGGTATATCACCTACAATCATACCTGAAGTATAGAGGAGAATAACCACTTAGGCTTCAAGGGTGAAGGTGCTCCACTTACCCGTTTCTCAATAAAGTTCTGGAAAGAGTGTTCTGTTCCCTCAAGGTGGGATGGGGAATGGGGGCTGTGTATCACACATGATAAATCCGTTGCAACATTCCTGTCTCCCTAGGATTTGCTCCTTCACATTTTGTTGTGGAGTTCTGCTGGTATGTGAACTCTTTCTGCTGGTATGTGGGTCACCAATGAGTCTGTGGTGCCATCTAAGCTGTTAGAGCTTTCCCCAGATCCATGAGCTAGAATGTATGAAACCCAGACTGTCTAAAAAGCGCACCCATGTCAGTGAATTTGGCCCAGTTTATTTGTTGTATTTCAGCCTTCTAGCTTTGGCATGCTTACAACTGTTTCTCCCATAGGGTACCCAGATTTCTTCTCCATATTACTGGAGTTGGAACTATTTTGTTGTGCAAGCTATTTTATCTTGCACTGTGTTGTATTCCTGTTACTGTGGATAGTGAACTGAACTAATGTCACCAGGGGCATAGCACGTGGTTTGGGTGGGTCTTGAGGAGGAGCATTTGCTTCCAAGACTTCTAACCCAAGTGAGATTTTTCCTCAATATTTTTAAGCAGAGGAAGGGTCATTTCAGAAACGAAAGGGCAGGATAATTCCCTGATATGGGAGTCAGTGTCTTATGGATTCAAGATTGTGAGCTTCCTGTTGGTCCGACTAGATGTCCCCATTCCAGTTTTCAAGTACTCATTCCTCTCTCATCAGTGCCCTAATTTTCACACGAACAACTAGTTGAGACAGCCATTCTAATTGTGGTGTTACTTTTACCTGTGCAATTAAATTTCATGTTTGATTTTCAACAGTGTGAGTCCCGTGGCCACAAGAAATGTGCTTTTTAAGAGCTGTCTTGAAGCTTTCTGGTTCTCAGACCTTGAATTGAGCTTGTCGTAGTAAATCTGAGCATGTCATTTGGTGTGCAAGTCCAGCCATAAGAATCCTTGTATGCATCACTAGTGAGGTAGCAGCCAAATATAGCATTTACTTGGACTCCCAAGCAAGTGCTTTTGTTTGCCTATCTTCACAATGAGCTACAGGTGATAGCTTGATTTTCATAACGCAGCTGAACGTCTTTCCCATTGTCAGGGAGCTTAGCTCCTGGCTCCAGAACAAAGACTTGATGAAATCACACACTTGATGAATCTCCACATCTTATCTCTACCAGTGTACCTCCTGCAGTCACTGTCCATCTCAATTTTGTATAAGTCTGGGTGTATGATCAGGAGACAAAAATCTCTCCTTGATTTCTAGATCTACATGGGAAGAGTTTACAAAGATGTGAAGAGCACTCTATCCTAGAATTGAACAATAATAAGGTAAGGTTTGTAGGGGTGCCTTCTCCCCAAGACTGAGTCACATCTTATTTGTGAAGGTATCATTGCAGTCCATTGCTTGTGAATAAGTTGGCTGGGTTTCCTGGGGCAGAGGTGGTCAGCAGGCATTGGGCAAGCATTTGGAATGCAGACAAGCCAGGTATCCACAGGAAATAAGTGTTCAATTTGCAGACATTCCTGGCTGGTGGGTAAGTGCTCAGAAGACTGAGATTCCCCATACACTTGTATTTCTAGAATAATTAACTGCATTTCCCAACACTTGGGATATATACTTTGTTAGAGACTGTTCTTTAAGTGTAATCTAGATGGAGACACATTAAGTGATGTAAAGTAGCTTAGTAGGTCTTGGTCAACAATCACTGGGTGCCCTCAATGAGCCAGGCCCCGTGACCGTACTGGAAAATAATGTTCTTCAAGCAGATGTAATGCTACCCTTAATATGCAAAGAGCTCTCCAAAAGAATGGAGATGCTGACAGGGGATGCTCCTGTCAGACAGCTTTTTGGGGAGATGAATATATTCTGTATTTTCCTTGTACTGCTCATTACACGAGTAAACATAAGTGTCAGAGCTCATCCTCAGAATACTTAAGATCTACGCATTTCATTGCATAGCACTTATATCTCAGTTAAAAAGAAAAACCAAAAGGAAAAATGTACAGGTGTGGCATGAAAGTAAACACATTTGGGTCTGTTCAGCCCAAAGGACTTCAGTTTGAGACCCCTGGCAGTAAGTGCAATCTCTACGAAGCATTTGAGATGCAGTGTTTGTGGCAGCATGTAATTTCAGGGTTCTGGTCTTTTCATGGATAGAATGAAGTATCTCGGGTTGTGAGGGTTATTTTGGTTTATGGTAATGAAACTGGAACTTCAGTGTTTGTCATCACTTGGATAGCATTCTGTAGATCAGCATTTGGGCTGCTGTTCTGTGTTTAATTTATTAAAAAATTACTAATTTTTAACGTAGGAGTTATCCTTTGAACTGTATCAGATTAAAAGATAAAGTGAGTAGGAAGCCTTGTTAAGAAAGGAATAAAGGGGCGCCTGTGTGGCTCAGTCAGTTAAGCGTCCAACTTCGGCTCAGGTCGTGATCTCACAGTCTGTGAGTTCGAGCCCCGCGTCAGGCTCTGTGCTGACAGCTCAGTGCCTGGAGTCTGCTTCGGATTCTGTGTCTCCCTCTCTCTCTGCCCCTCCCCTGCTCATGCTCTGTCTCTCTCTGTCTCAAAAATAAGTAAAAACATTTTTAAAAAGTTAAAAAAAAAGGAATAAAAATGACATAAAAACTTGGTGAAAAACAGAAGTGATAATAGGAAAAGGAGGTTCTCCAGGAAGACTTCTAAATAGACCAGTGTGAAGCTGTCTGATTTGGCATTGCTCCTTTGCCGGGGTGAGAGGAAGTCCATAAACCTTAATTGAACTGAGCCTCAATTAGGATCCACTGAGGCTGTTGAATACTTGTAATGTCTTCTGAGTTTTATAAAACCTTTCCACCATTATTTTTCTTATCTTTTTGGGTTATTTAGAATAGCTTATGGTTACTTGCCTTATTTGTCCTTACCTTGCCCAAAAGAAATCCAAAATATTCGTGTATACATTTGTGTTTGTATATAGGATACTCGATTTTCTCACCTGTTTGAATTTTTGCAACAATGATTGGATGAATCCATTTATAATTGAGTATGTTGTCTCTTTGGAATGTTGGGCCATTAAGCCCTGGAACATTTGCTGTATATATCACTGTTTTCTACTTAGTGCCTAGCACAAGACCACAATTTCTTAATTATTTGTGGAAAGAATGAAGGAATAAGCCTATTATGATAACTTAAAAGGAGGTTCAGGGCTCCAAGCCACTCTAAGCTCCATCAAATGAAGCCCAAGGGTGTTAACCAAATAGAACACTTCATTTTTATCCTCTGTGTACTATCCAGCAGTATTCTAGGCCAGTGCTGTCCAATGGAAATACAAATGTGTAGGTCATGTATATGAACAAAGCTTTCCTATACCTGTAATAAAAAAAAAAAAAAGGAGATACACTTTATCCCATCTATTCAAAATATTTCAGCATGTAACCCATATAAAAATTTATTGTAAATTATTTTCGTCATACCAAGTAGTCAGAATTCATTGGACATAAAATTTTTGTGACATGTACTTGATATGTGTTTGAATCATGTAATAAATACAGTGGAGAAAGTAGACGTAAGTTTACCCAACCATATTTAAGTTCTCTAATAAGTGAATCTGCAAATGAGTTTTACATTTAAAATATAAAAATAAATAAAACTTAAAATCCTGTTTTACTAACTGCCTATCAAATACTCAATAGCATATGTAGCTGCTGGCTACCAAAATGGACAATGCAAGTCTAAAATGATGTCTGATTATTATTTGGGAATAAGAACCTCAGGAGATCAAACATTAGAGACAAGCCTATCTACATTAAATTGTGGATCTCTTTTTTACTAATTGGAAGGTGTTGGACAAATGATTAGTGTTCTATCTCTCTAATTTTATCAGCTATTAAGTAGGGCTAATGATACCTATTGTAGAGAATTGTTATGATAATCAAGTGAGCTGATATACATAGAGCTCCTAGTGAGAAAATGTGTCACATATCCTCAGGAAATTGTAATCGATGTTATTGACTTTCCTACCATAGATTATACCATTTTTAGTGAATCTCACATATATCATCTGCAGAGAGAGAGGTAATGTATGATGTTTGATTGATGGATTAGTAATGCTTGCTGATTAATGATTGATGTGGAAAAACTCCAGTTAACCCTGTGTCAAGAGTAATGAAAATTGCCATATTTACTTAGATTCTTAAGTTGCACTGAAGTGATCTTGGCATCAGATTTCGCATCAGGCAGATTTCACCATCAGTGTCCCAGGATGGCAGCCATTGATTTGACCCGTGGTAAGTCATTGTTGATTCTCATTTTCAGAGGATTCTTAAATGTAACCCCTATACAGTATAGGGTCCAGGGATCTGGGCCTAAGCAGTTAGGCTGCTGGTTCATTAGAACTAAAATTTGCCAGAGAATGCTGTTCTCTAAGTCAGCTTCCTGGTGTGTGTGCTTTGGGAGTTGGTGCTGCATAATCCCATTGATGAGTTCTGTTATCTTGGGCAAATAATCAGATTTCCCAGGGATTGGGTTTCCATACCTGTAAAATAAGACTGTGGCCCCTTTCTACATGGGCAGTGTGTCTGGCACATTCTTTTTGTGGCTTCAGGTGTGGCTGGGCTACTCTGGTATTTTATGGCAATAGTGTGTATTTGCATGAGATTTCTTGAGTGTGTAGGGATATACGGGACTCTCAGAATAGGATGGAATGACTTTCAGGTGGGTGATTCTGGGAGATATGCTTGTGTTGCATTCTAAGAACCTAAGTGTTATTTTTTCCCTGAGATCTTTCTAGAGATCATTTTCCCCTTCATGAGGAAAACACAGAGGCAGAAAGGATGGTGGCTGTCTGGCTGAAAAATTATCATCAGGTAAGAAATAATCACATCAATCAACAGAATGCTGTATTTACATCTACCAGGTGGACACATTCCTTCTAGGCACATCTATGTCCTGAGCTTCCTAAAGCAAATAAAGCCCCATGCAAGGACTGAGTCCCGAATTGAAGCTTCCCTGGAAGTGGAAATTCATTGAAAAGGGATTACAGTGAAAAATAGTCTCAGTATTTCAGTAATCAATCCTGAAGCTCAAGGATTTCAAGTGCAGGCTTCCGCCTTGCTGTGTGCTCTGACATGGTAAGATGTAAGTGTCCTTTTCTTAAAGAATTCAGTCATTTTATGTTGTTTATCGAGAATCTGTAGCGTGCTCAGAAGTCTATTGCAATAGAAGGAAATAAGAAGAGAGCTCCTACTCTGGTTATGCTGAGATAAACTCATGTTTAAAAGGTGACATTAAAACCGTATGAGTGGAGAGGAGCAGTGAGTGAGTCTAGATCGAGAGAAGAGTACCTAGGACCACAGAACCATGAGATGATAATGAGAAATCTCCTAACCCTGCATCAGTATTGAGTCTCCCATCCTGAAAAAACGTGTTCCTTTGGGGTTTTTTGGTGAACGTTGGTGGGGATGTTTCTTAGGCCAACCCGGTGTGATGATTTAGATTTCAGTGACCTTTGACGACGTGGCATTGGACTTCACCCAGGAGGAGTGGATATTACTGGACCTCTCTCAGAGAAACCTATACAGAAACGTGATGCTAGAGAACTACCAGAACCTGGTCACAGTAGGTAAGTAAGGCTGCCACCATTCCTGATATGGATCATGTACTTAATGTGTTTCTAGGCTTGGTGATGCCTAATCTGAAACAGAATTGGAAATAAGAGATGCATAGTCCCTGCACTAATGGGCTGTAATCTGCAGTGGGTATTCTGGAAATGTGGCCATAGGGCCCACAGTAACACCATCGCTCTGCTAAGAATTTATATTCTCTGACTCCATTTTTGACATTCTGAATTATAAAGCTGGGGTTGTTGGCCCATCTTCTATGTTCAGTAAGCTATCCTGACGATTGTGATGCGCTCCAGCGTTTGAGACCACTGCTCTAGTGATTTCCCCATCAGAAAAGGAAGATCTCCTTTCCTTATCTCCTTTATTTCCTTTTTTTTTTTTAATGTTTATTTATTTATTTTGAGAGAGAGAGTAGGGGGAGGGAAGAGAGAAAGGTAGGGAAAGAGTTGGGGGGTGGGGGGGACAGGGAGAGAATCCTAGGCTTTGACAGTGCAGAGCCTGATGCAGGGCTCGAACTCACAAACCACGAGACTGTGATTTGACCTGAGGCAAAGTCGGATGCTTAATCGACTGAGCTACCCAGGTGCCCCTTCTTTATTTCCTATTTGAATAAATGTCTTACGCTTTTTAAATATATATGTACGTTTGTTTTGGCTTTCAGGGGTCAGAGATAATGATTTTTTGTCACAGAAAGGGAGCATTTGCCTTTTTGGTCCTTTGGAATAATTTCACTGCTTTCATTAGAAATAAGAGTTTTAGGGGCATCCGGGTGACTCAGTTGGTTAAATGTCCAACTCTTGATTTTGGCTCAGGTTGTGATCTCATGGTTCGTGAGTTCAAGCCCCACATCCAGCTCTGCGCTGACGGTGCAGAACCTGCTTGGGATTCATTCTCCCTCGCCCTCGCCCTCGCCCTCGCCCTCGCCCTCGCCCTCGCCCTC